ATATTTATTATAATAATTTATAAATTACTGTAGTTACTATTTTGTCATAAAGTGTATATCTTTACGTACTTTACTTACTTATAATGTTAAATTACTTACGCATTTTTAAAAGTATACTTTCTAAAACATAAAGAAATAATGTCCACTACGCGTATCAAATAAATAAAATTAAAGTTACATACATTATTACTAAATTTAGGTTTATTGTATCAAATATATGTAATATATATAGATTGTTTAATTGATATACCTATCATTCACAGAAACGTAGACTTGCTGTCTCTTTTATAAAGTAACTAACCTTCGTATATTTTCACATTTCATTTAACGTAAGTAAGTTAATGTAGTATACATTAAAATATCTAGCTGTTTCAAAAAAATGTCGTTGGCAAATAAATAAACGTCGTAATTACCAATTACAATATATACGAAAAACACAAAGATTATTTTTTTGGTGTTTCTTTCAAAGATAGTAATAAAAGCACTAGTTTACGTTAATTATAATCACGGGAATATGTAACTCTACCTCAATATTTCTATTTAATTCTTTACTTTAAGAATCTTTATAATTAATTCGTATCGTAGTTAGTTCCACTGTATTGCAAATTCTAAAATATCAATGTGCCTTCATAAATATAAATTATATAAACAAACAGGAAGACTCCGTAATAGTTTTGTTCAATTGGGGACCGAAGCATCGTCTACTTGATTCACGCGTTACATTGCGACACGGACGCGTGTTCGTGATATCGTGGTACGGGGAGAGCGAGCGAGCGCTGGCGGTCGATCGGCGACACGTAAAACTATCGGGGTGCATGAGGTGCGCAGACCGCGGGGCCCGATTTTGAAGTAATAGTTTATCACGGCGTCGCCTTAAATTAACATGAAACTTAATTCTGGACCCAAAAAGGATGCGCAGAGACATATAGTGACAAATATTATCAATAATTTAGACGGTTCATTCCTATCAAATTTACATTAACGGTATAACCGTTTCGTTATTTCCAATTGTAAGAGTATTATATTGTTTTTATATAGAGGATAAGGATAAAACTAAATCTTCTATTCGGCTTATATAAAGAATTGCATTCTGTTACAACTAAGGTACACTTGTACCTTACTAAATATATTAAATGATATATGCTAATATGGCTGACCATAAAAACTAGAAAAGTTTAACTTTCTGTTATAGTTTCATTATTTATGGCAGAGTGTACCGCCAACCATAACCATACGCAATCTAAACAGCCATTACAGTACACATTCACTTTCATGTAACGGGTGAAATTAACTTGAGTGGGCATCGCTAAACGTTGGTCTCATTATGTGGCATTAGGTATATAATAATACAGAACAATTATTACCGAGATAGGTTTTTTTATAAAGTCGTCAGCGTGAGTACCTCCGTAATTCAGCAGCTTGCTTTATTATTGCATTGCAGCTTGTTTTCCGGTTTGACAGTTAAATTACTGTGATTAATTACATTACATCTTGTGACACCTTCCTCTTCAGAAATGCAATGCATGAGTCTTACGTCGTCAATTTAATAACGTGAATTTACATCAATTTAAACTCAATTATTCACATAGGATCTTTAAATATGTAGTGCATGACATATTTTTTTATTAGGTACCATCTCTACCTTCAGTTCGGATAGATACTTCAATTGAGAAGAATTGGCAAGAAACTCAGCTGGAACATTTTTTGCCATATGGTCCGTCAGCTTGGTTTTCATACCTGTTACATATAGAATCACAATTGCTATATTGTATGTTAAGAGTAGTTACGCACGCGTGGGCCATTTTTATCTAATTTCCCCGAAAATTCCCAAAATACTTTGTGAATATTTATTTATATAAATATATACAATAATCAGTCAGTACCACAATATTTATTTTCAGAGCCATTGAACTTGAAGTGCGTCCATTAATCCGTGTGTACATTAGATAGTAGATACGTCAATACGTTTTATGTAACATTGCTTCGAAATATGTATTTATTCAACACAATCAGCTGCCTTATTTATACAAAATTCATATAGAAAAAAAAGACTATATTACGTCAATTTCGCTCTTTAACGTCGTATATTATAGTATTTAGACCGACTTCTTCGAGCCAAATCTCGAGAAAATTTGTTTTATTCATTCAAAATCTATTGGCGAAGCTGTTGCAATTTCCCACGATTTTTTGTCTATCTCTTTAATTGTTTGATACGACAAACTTGAACGAGGACGAAAATGTCTTCGTAGCGAAGGTCATTTCTAGTATTTATGCGAGGATACTCGTACGGTTGGCATCCCTGTTTTGTTAGTATATCTATTTTTTCTGTCAACTGTCAAGGTTATGGGCATCAGCCATTCCTGTGGTCACTTATAGACTACACAGAATGACAGTCAGCTGTCACAGTATACACTGAGTGTGGGCCCTGCTGCCAACTAGTAGTACTAATGTAGTATTTTTTATTATACCTAATTTTATATGAAATTTTATAAATATATATTATTATTAGTTATTAAATTTCTGTCTATTTATTATGAGTTGGTAACAAATCTCAATTCTTGCAGATTAAAATCGATGCATCCATGAAGTTTAGATGAATTTGAGAATAGCAAATAATTAAATTAAATATGAACCTACTCTCAGGACTCCCACCGTTATGGTGGCTGCCGGTGGTTAGTTTTTCAGCGCTCGGACCTTAAGACCCAAGTGTGGGTACACTCAAGTGTATTAAAAGACATTAATTCTAAGGTAACTTGTAGGAAAAATAGTGTGGAAAATTTACGTTACAAACTCCTCGGCATTAAACAGTGACGCCCTCCATGAAACTAGTGGTAAAAAACCACAGTTGGTACAATTAACATTTAGTTTCTTCAATGAAATTAATGTTTCTAAAATATTATGGACACTACGAATGTTTATCTATGTTTATCAAAATTAGATGTGTGTTATTCAGTAACACACATCTAAATTTGTATAAATAAGCATAGATCTATCTAAATTAATATAGAAGTCATTCAAACATTGTTGTCGTAATGAAAATTGTTTTTTAAAGATAATGAGATAACATTATCTGTATACTGTACTTGTTTTATACGACTACTAAGAAGTTTTGTACAATTATATTTAGTTAATAAGTATGTAAAGTTTATCTATTTTGACCCTAGTATGTGTAATGTCGAAATGATTAGAACGACATGAATTATCTCATGCCAAACTTGTACATTTAAGTAGGTGACTACTTAATCATTCAAGTAGACCCAATTATATCCATTTAAATAAACAACTTCATAGTTAATTTTTAAGTGAGTCTCTTAATGGTTTTTTTCGGACTACTCTAATGGTGTTGACGGTAGCTGGTCTTTACAGGTTCACTGGGCGATAGATGGAGAATGCAGATAGCACTCCAGAACCGTGGTAGGACTGTGGAGCGGCTGAGGGCAAGTCCCGCCTGACGGATACGACTTTAGTCTGAGGGCACCGCTAGGGGTTCGAACCTCGGCTTAGGTCGTCGTAATTTCGATCAGACCGGATCGGATCGGATTCGTTTGAATTGGAGGCGGAATCGATCGAAGAGGGCTCTTAACGGGACTCTCGGTCAATTTTCACAATTTTTTTAGTTTTCAATTAAGCAGGTCAACAGATTATGTAGTTAACTTATTCAGTTATGGTACGAGTTTTATGTAATTACATTTTCATTTATGCGATTTCTAAAGATATAAATTAATATTCTATGCTGTATACAAATTTTCGACTGTTTGGTATTTATTTTTCTATTACTCATTGTTGTATTATGATTTGCTTTTACTTATTTTCAGGTTATAACCGGCTAACTTAATCAATCTGTTATTACCGAATTAAGGTATTAGGAATAATCGAATGAATGAATATACTCTTCGTGATCTGGGTTACTGTGGTGATTAATAATTATGATTAATGTTGGCAGATAATACAAAATCACATTATTTTCTGTTTTCGCATCTTATCGATATTAACTACGACGAATCAGTTTGTCATAAGAATATGTCACTTATGTGCGAATATTACGGACCAATTTCACTAGCAGAATGTTGTTTGTTATGGATTCACCTTACGGGACCATTTCGAATCAAGCTCCACTCACACTTGGCTGATTTGTTTGCTGACATTATCAACGCCATGTTACAATAGCGCATAATTTGCTTATTAACTGTTCAGACGTTTAATTACACAGTTATAATTACGGAGACGTTCATATAAACGTGCGTGGATCGTGTTAACAAATGATAGAACCCACTAGCAGTGTGATTTTTCCGTGCGATTATTCTGCGTCTAAGAACACGTAGAAAAGTTATATACCCTATATTTATATATGGTATACTTTTATCTCATATAAAAGTTAGCGAAAAAAATGCTGAAAATAATCTATACTTTATTCATAAAATATTACGACGTAAACCTAAAAATAAACGACTAGCCAGTTAGGTATGCGTGGGAAAGCTAGGATAGTAAGCTATATATCTTATAAGCAGAGACCCTAGCACTGCATTTTTTAATCAGTAATCTCATATTTCTTATTTGAGTTGCAACATTAAACGTAGCGTGGTAATCAGGCTATTAGGCCCCGCGGATAAAATGACCCATGTCTGCTGTAAACAGACGATTCTAATTTTGTTCGCGGGAAAGAAAAGTGCCCTTTGTTACCAGTAAAATAATTTGCAAATATTAATATTGCGTACACGTGTTGCAAAAATTTGCAACACGTGTACGATCTAATAAGCCCTATTTTTATGTAAATAGATACAAACTCATAACCCAATCTCTAAAATTTCACTGCCATTTCTCACCCTTTAAATCGTAACACAAAGGAAGCTGGTTTATAGACAGAGACATGGCGTAGATGTAAATGGTACACACAGAAATTGTCTATATCGATTTAATACTATGGCAATTTGGCAATTACGGATAGTCAGTACTGGTTTTCAGCCTAAAAATGTATGTATCACTTATAATGTATGGTTTACCTTCGTGGACGGGTTGATGAGCGCATGTGGTAGTCCAGTAGGCGACTCGAATGCGGGCAATAGTGCGTCAGCCACCTCGGCAGCTTTGTCCCGGAATACAGTGTCGCCTGTGAAGGCGTAGCAGGTCAGCAGCCCGCCAACAAACCGGATTGTGGTTTCGAATACAGACAAATCTGAATCCTAAACAATGGAGAATAAAATCGTCATTATTATCAATTTTTATCATTTATATTAATAGAACTTACAACTAAACTTACTTATCTTAACAGTTAACATAAATATTAAAAAATATACCAGCACATATATTTTTATAACTTTATGGATATCCTACAAGGATCAGGAAGTGACATTTGTATTTGCTGTTTGTTCTAAATTTCTTTATCATATATGAAACAATTACAATTTTTAATATTTGTTTTTTTTATAGAAACGCAGTATAAGACCATGTCGACAAATCTCTGAATATATTATTTATTCAAGATTATTTAATTATTAGTTTTTATAATTATAACGCTTAATTCCTTGTCGATCTGTGCCAGTACAGATAAGCTAACTATAGTAATAATATTACTCGTTTATAGTGATTAACCTGGTCTACCCGTTTCGATTAATTCGGATTAATTGACACTCAGATATGTCTGTCTAACCCGAAAAATACCTAATGTGAATAAAAAAAAATTAAAAAGAGACAATTCGTGCTAAAATCTCTAAATCAAAAAAGGAAAGCAACCACAATCTGTACATTTTTCCGTTAACTTCTAAACCACGCAACGGATTTTATAAGGGTTTCACTGTCATTTCGATATTTTTTACGGAAGTTTTATTATATACTTCAGACCGCAAATAGCTTCTAGATAAAACATTTTATTCAGTTGACGAGTTTCTTCAAACCAAGATATATATTTATAATTTATATATAAAACATATTTAAACAACGAGGAAATACTCGAATGCTATCATATATGATAGTCATATAAAGTAAGTAGTCATGTAAATTAAGTATATAGATACTTAATTATAAAATACCACATGTTTATACTACTTGCATTCATTAAATTAAAATAGAACTGTTTAATAAGATTAATAATAAAACTATTACGATTATTAAAATATATTCTCATATCGTTGAATACAAGTGAAGTCACAACATTCCTTTTTCGAATTTATCTAAGGCTGCTGCCCTTGTAGCTTCTTGAAGGGTGGCGAATGCAATTTACTTCAAACCCGCGGAAGGACTTTTGCCGAAACCATTGTTATAAATTCCTGGTGAATTAGCTACGACGAACTGACCTGAATGTATCTACATTCAGGTCAGTTCGCCTATCTATATATATAGCTCATCTACCATCCTCCACTGATAACCTGTTAGCGTTAATCGTTGGCGTAGCCTGATGCACCATTATTATTCTTTAAGAAAATGAGAATTGAACGGGTCGCTAGTTATAACTTTCATATATTATGTGATTTGTTGCCTACATTATCAGAGTTATATATCATAATAGATCGCATGAAGCGAAGCGTATAGAACACCGATGATTAGCTTGTACTTTTGACATAGGGTTTATTATGCCAAGATTACTTAATTGGTAATAATCACGCGAATTATGCATATAGATATAAATCGAAACTCGTGTTGTCTGCTGTCACTATTAGGGCTGTTTCAAGCTGTGGACATTTAGGTAGTAGCTTTGTTTGAAAACTCAGTTAATTTTCAGTCATTGACGACGTTCTTGAACGCAGCCATTTATTCAACGGTTGATTTATACTACGCTTAGCGACTTTACGTGAGATACTTATACCGCTTTAAATTTTGATGTATATATATTAAATATAATGACTTCACATTTATTAATATCGAGCCTGTTATAAGTATTACAGGTTGGTGAATAATCAGTTGTGTTTCTTGTAGAAAGTGGAAAACTTAAGCGATCCTAAAGCCAATGTTTATTAAGAATTATAATATATTATTATAGGAGTTTATTAAATCCATATTATATTCGTTATGACTTTGTGCTTCCGTTCCCTATACCATTTTATTATAACTTTTCTGAGTAGCATTCAAACATTATCACATAAAATATTTTATTTAGTTTATAGGTGAAAGTTAGTTTTTGAGAAATTCTTTCACTGTTTGATTGGTACGTACATTATTCCAGAGTGACATAGTCTATATATTTATAATAAAGTTTACTTCGTAAATTAAAAGAACAAACACAAATAATATAAGGTAATGGGACAAAGAAAAGACGACGATGAACTAGATATCCATTATACCGTTCCTATTTAAGATATTTTCCATGGATTCCCATGGATGTCACTGACAGCCCTATCTACAATCAACAGTTGTTAACGACTACGTTAAGTTGACATTAAATTGTCATTTATTAGGCAGTTACGTTCACAACTGAAAACACTGGCTGGTATTTTAATAATTTAAGAGAACAGAACGGGACAAAGCAAATGATAAGGTCTAAATTGCTGTCAGAAAAAGATAAACGATACGATACTATATAGGAATACTGAATTATTAATTTTAATACAATCTGAATCTCGATAAAATTATCATGAACCAATATGGGAGTACAACATACTAATATCAATATGAAAAGTCAATTAATATTTATTTCCACACAAAACAAAACAGTTATCTAAATGGACTCATAACTGGCTTAGATGGAAACAAAAAACATGAGCGAAATAAAAACGTCTTTTCTTCGTTGTTCGTTGTTCTTTTGAAGCCAGTTCAAAATGTCATTTCATATTTCCTAAGTGGTACTAATCCGGGTCGTGGCGATGTAGAAGACAAAAAAATTGTCTTTTTAATTCCTGCACGTTGGTTATAATGGGTTACAAAGTACAAGATATATATTAGTAGAAAAAAAAATTGGTTAAAATGTAATACTATATACGCCAACAGTACACCAAGCCGCCTGGCTAACAAAGTAATAGAAGGGAAAATCCTTCTTCTACGAAGACTTATGTGTCTGTGGCCACGATTCGGGCGATAATGGGTTATTACAGTAATTGTGATTTAATACTTACGATCTCATTAATATGGAAATGTTCGGCAATCCAATCTCGACCCTCTCGGAACTCGTCCATGAGGCCCATGAGGTAGAGTGTGTCAAGTCCATCAACTATAGTAGCACCCAGGTCTCCGGCACCGAACACGCTGGATAGATGTGCGCGCTTTGACATAGGTTTCAGTTCATTCTTGCCCCATGCATACAGTTTGTAGTTGTTCCACGCGTGCCGCATCATCTGTGAAAAAAAGTAAATATTAAAACACGAAACAAAAAGCACCGAGTTACTTAAAATTTACTTTATTCGAAAGATTGTTTGACAACCACAGCAAGACTATTCTCATAAGTTCGCCCTGTAGTTTGAGAAAATACCTCTCCTAGTTATGTCTAATTAATATCCCGAAAAGTCTCAGATTAATCAATAAGATTACTAACATATAACAGAATCAAGAAGTCGTTATATTAGACCATTGAGTAAATTAAGCTAGCACACTCGAACCCTCACATAAAAATTTTTTTTTAGTTATAATTACATAGTGTTGATATATGGAGTATGGTGTTAGCTACGTGTGTTTTCAGATTAAGTAAACAAATATTTTCAAAAGCAATGACCACAGCTTAGCTCGGTGCCTTTTAAAAGAGCGCCCCACAAAGCTCTCGCCCTGGGACCAAGTTTTAATCTCGGTTGGTCCGTACAGAGTGCGGAGACGGGCCTCTAATGAAAGGATATCGGACTTTCGTTGAGGCCATTAATTATTATTAGGTCTCGGTAACTTTGTAAGAAAATCGCCAATGACTTGGAAAAAGTGGAGACTTTGCCAATTACAGTTTAAATAGACCGAGAAAAGATGAAAATTTACATTTGTAAGGGCCCGTTTCAAAGCGAGAACTTAGCTCCGGAATGTACGCTATAGATTGACTTTGTGCAATTAAAGTGTAGTACCGTCTCCTGTTTTATGCAACATGAAACGCTTAATTGAGAAGACACCGAAACATAGTTGTTTAAATTGTCATGTATTTTTGGAATAATATATTATTCCACAAGTACGTGACATTAATAAGTGATTTTAACCTTAATAACTTGACACTGCCTCAGACCCGTGTCGTTCATTTGTTCCAGTGGTGCGTCTACAAGTATAACATTTTCTTCTGAAGTCTCATCGGTGTCCCTTGCGATTCGCGTGCGTGACTCACGGGTAGAGATAGATACTCCATTTATGTCAGAAATACGTATCAGTAGAATCATCATAAGCGTACATGTCACCGCCACCGCCACAAAACGGAATAGTAAACGCATTGTCACAATAGTTTATATTCCACCACTATATATATTACATGTGCAAAATTAAATTTACGATGTTCTTGATAGAGAAAGAAACATTTAAAATTAATGATTGAATTTCACGAATTATTATAACAATGTCATTTTATGAATTATAATAGATACATTAAAATTAAACTAGAGACTGTTAATGGAGTGAGCGGTTAGCGCGTATGTACGCAGAGAGAGACTACACAAAACAATCTGTGCGATGCTCGTAGATAGAGTATCGGGGTCTGGGGTACCTGACGTCACATATCACGGCTGATTACAATACCACAGCTTATTAATATTACATTAGAGCTATGGCCACTGATTTGCTTAATATGAAAACTAAATTATTTGTGAGATAATACTAATAGTTACAGAGTTAAAACTATAGGCTCTCTTCAATGTGATCAGGTAGGTGAGTAAATATAATGGTAGAATGGATCATCTGAATTCTTTATGATATTGTTGATGCGCATTCCATTTGTGTTTACAAATACTTGTGAGTCAGTCATGTAGTAATTAAATAGTTCTAACTGCAAAATGAGTTAATTACTTATTTGATGATTTCTAAGAAGTGAACTGTATAAAATTGACTTGAGGAGTCCGCATTTATTTTTAAAAATAATATAATATAACCCAGGACAATTTACGTAAGGCCATTTAGTCCAAACCAAGCAGAGTTTCTAGTACAGGTACCTGTACTGTACCTGCAACTTCGCCCTCGCGGAATTTAGCTTTTTTTATTAACTAAAGAAAATTTCTAAAATAAAAGTAGCCTAACTCCTTATAACATTAGCTATCTACGAGTCAAAATATACTTAGCTGAATCAGAGAATAGCAGTTTTTGCTAGTAAACAGACAGGCAAACAAAAATATTTTTTTATATAACTGTATATATTCATATGCATTTAGGAACTTCGTTTTTATTTATTTTTATACATTATAGATGTTTGTATCAAGCGAGCATCTAACCCGCGATCATCGGAAGTGAGGCAGTGTGGTAATCGCTAGACAGAGGCCGTCTTGCAAAATCAATGTTTTTTCTTAATATCATGTAAAACTTACAAACATAATAGATAACCTTTAACAGACTTTTTATGTAAATAATTTTATTGAGTAACATTACGTACTATTTCTTTGAGCACATGCAGCACAGTGTATCAAGGTTCTGAATACTATTCTGAATCTGTGCGCATTCTTTTTTAATTAACAGGCAAAAAAATTGACGAATGGTAAATGGCGACCATCGTCTATATACATGAACAAGCAAAACATTCATTAACAAGCAAAACGCTTGAACATCTCAAATGTTGCTATTTTTTAGTTTCAATCAGTAATTTCGCTACCTTATCTCCCTCTCTACCCGAAACATATTTTAAAAACGCAAGTGGATTGGCACACAAATAAAGTAGAAAGAGTTCATACTCAGACAACTTTTTGCTAATTCTATCTTTGGTAATAAGTACTGTCAATATTGGTCATAAGGTTTGTTGAAAATGTCATTAAATATTCAGACAATAAAATTTTCGCACGTATCACATACTTGTTCATGCGTGTGTGACTATACTGTTAAATTTAGAATTATATAGTTAAAAAGTTTATTAATTTTTAAATATAATATTAGCTTTTATATGGAAATTGAAAAACTACAATACTTAATATAAGCTAAACAAACATATTCAAGATTATATTAATCAAAATGTTTGCTGAAATACATAATTGTAATAATGGCATAACAGATTTTACGCATTCGTTATTTCGACTATAATCTAAATTAAAAGTTACGAACCATAACATAAAATAATATAAAGAAGCTCTATTACGTAAATTAAAGAAAAAGTAAATAAAAATGTCCGAACGTTGTACATTTTCAACGAGAAATTCCAATGAAAATAAACCTATTATTTTTATGCAGATTATAAAAATGTACGAGATCGTCGGTATGCGCATTCGACTCACATTTGGCGGATTTTTTTCTAATAAGCTAACGACAATGACATTGTTTCAATGAAGAGCACGCACATGCAAGCATACCGAAACTGAGCGCAAGTATTGTTTTTGTATTTATATTAAATTTTCTTGCCGATACTGCGAAGCCACGTGCCTTAATATTGAATTCATGTTACTCATTAAAATACCAACCATTTATCCAAGAGTCGTTTGTTATAAACAATATAACATGTAATAATTTTTCGTACTAATATTAGAAAATGAAGAAAAATTGAAGACATTTATTTAGTCAGCAACGGAGACAGGGAAGGATAAGGGAGAAATTAATTATATCAAATACGTCTTGTGTCAGCGAAATAAGGAGTGATGAGCGTGATAAAAGATTCATTAAATTTTCATTATCATTTCAAATCGACGGTTCAATATCGCTCGAATTATGAAAGGTAGGGGTCGGCTAAAGGATTTTTTGATGGGGCGGAAAATTTGATGTTTAATTTGTAAATTATAATCAGTGGTTTTTATCATTAAACAATTATGAGTTCTTTGTAGTATTATTTTTCTACCCTTTAGCTAAATATTCCGTCATTACAGCAATTAATAATTAATCTATATTGACAAAATAGTAGATATAATGATGAAAGATAAATAAATAATAAGGGAGTTGACTATTAACAAACTACCTACTTACATTTGTTAAAAATAATTCTTGTAATTAATACCTACATTATGGTCATATATTTTGTAATATTCTTAAAGTACAGTCAGATTGTTACCGAATTCTTTTTTATTAAGTTCAACTTACTTTACGAGTAAATTATTTAATCAATTCAATGTGAAAAGATTTTCCTTTACTCTGGTACTCCATATCCGAGGTGCCGTAATATAAAACGACACCTGGGGTCTTATATATTGAGTTTCCAAGGACCTTATTTTAACTCCGTCTCACACTTTCCGTTTGATTTCTACAACGTACCTATACTAGACAGTAGCTTCTTATATTTTAATAAAAGATGTTACCTTGACTAGGTACTCGTAAACCGCGAGCTTTGAAAAAGTATTCAAAATGTCAATATAAATTATTAGGATCCTCTGCTCAAAGGTTGCTCAATTTTACAACAAAGGGTTTTTTTTTTATTTATTTACAACAATTTCACTTAAAGAGTCTAGTTTCTATTAAGATCAACCTGGGCACCAAGAATTCCTTGCACCATTTAAAGCATATTTTATATTATATTTTTATTGGTCAGTCTTGTCCCCAAGCTAAACAAAGGTAAACACTGCATTACAGATCACCTGAAACGTTAGTAATTTGAAAATTTAGATGTTGTATAAAACTTTTTAAAGTTAGGTTAATTAAAAAAAACAATATCACGACTATGTGTATTGGTCTCTATCCCAGCTAAATTCAGAGCCGGTAATTGGAGCAATATCGTGGGATTCGCAGACAGTTGATGATTATAAGGCATCCCAATCACAACGCTACTAGAGACGACTGCAGGAATCGGACTTTATTCTAATTAAATACCGAATAATTCTTTATTCTAATTAAATAGTAGATTTCCTTTCCTTCTGGTATCTACTGTAGTATATGTTTACCAAAGTAGAACACTCCGTTCTTATGTGACTCCAAGACAATATGCCTATTTAAGAATTAGGATCTGCGAGATTTTGTTTAACCAAAATAAGTAGACAATAATAGTGGTTTGTATTATAATTTCCCGTGTTATTTTGGATCAGTACAGAGAACAATCTATATTAAATAAGTGTAAAAATAAAAAGACACATTTAATCGCAGTCGGCAATCTGTTGCCGACGAATCGCCCAATGTGTGCTGTATTATTACATAGCACTACGAAGTGAGCAATATGTGCCGACACTAGCGCTGCGGGAACTAATCTCGACGGGTGGTAATTAAGTGGTAGCCGAGTGCACTACGGACCTACGTAAATCTGGCCTCCCCAGATTTACTGTTATGG